GTTTTTTTTTCTGCCTGATGGCTCTCCCTCTAGCCACAGCGCCGGCATTTCACGCCGCAGCGGAGGAGCGGCCCCTCTTCTTCCTTCCGTCCCGATTCATCTTGGCCTTCAGGTGGCGCACAAGCTCGTCGCACTCCGCCTGCAGTCTGCGTCCACGCTCCTCCTCGTGGGCCAGCTGAGCCGCCGGCGTGTCGGCTAACGCGGGCGGCAGGCGCCCCGCCGGGCCCGCGTCGCCGCTCACGGCAAGGAGAGGCGGTGCAGGCTCCACCCGCACACGAGCCCGCCGCCACGTGTCCCAGCCGTCGTGTGCCCGCGGCACCGGCGACGCCGCCGGCCCCGCCGCCTCCAAGCGTATCTCGCGGAATGCCGCACACCGCACGGGCGCCTCCGCCGCCGCCAGTGGTTTCCCCTCCACGCGGCAAAAGTCTCGGGAGAGCCAAAAGTCCGCCGCACCGAGGCCCCACGTGGCGATCGCGCCGCCGCCTTCTCCCTCGCCACGCGGCCAAAAAACCGCAGTGAGGCGGTCCGTTGTCACCGTGAGCCGGGCAATGAAAAGGTCCTCGGGCGCCTCCGCCGCAAACTCCTCGCCGCGGCGCGACCACGAGTACGTCTGGAGCCACAGCGGAGGTTCCCGGCGGGCCAGTGGATCGACGAGGCGGTCGTTGTCGTACAGGTCCACGCGGGCAAGCCGCGTGCCGCCGAGAAAGCAGGTTGTCTCGTCCGGCGAGAGCGCCAGGCAGCGCAGCGAGAACCCAACCCGCACATCGCAGAGGGAGGAACGGGTCGTAGTGTCAAAGACAATGAAACGGCCGCCCACGCCGCAGGTCGCTAGCCAGCTGCCTGTGGAGAAAAACGTCATGGCCGTCACCGGCAGCGTGTGGCCTGCGAGGCGCCCCATCCGCTCCTCGCTGTTCGTCAGGAGGTTTAAAGCGGGCTGCACAACAGGCGCCGCATCGTGGCCGGCGGAGGCAAGAAGGTGGGAGGTCGAGGCACACAGGCAGTGCACCGGTCCATGATGCAGCGCCCGCGCATACACGCAGACGCCGGCGGCATCCCCCGCCGCATCGCCGCTCGGCCGCGCAAAAGCGAGGACGCAGCCGACGTCGGTGCCCACAACAACAATGCGGCCCATCACAACCGCCGCGGCGGTGACACGGAGCCCGTCAGCCAGGCGCTGGCCCAAGAGTGCTGCCACTTCCAGCGTCGGCATTCGCTACGCACTTTACTTTTTTTGTTGTTGTTTTTTATTTGTGCCCCGCCAGAAAACAACAACAAAAAAAGACGTCCATTTCAATTTGGCGTGCACACCGCCAGAGTAGCGGGCAAAGAAGAAGCGGAACACGCAAGCACGCAAGCAAATTGCTATTTTAAATCAATCTTCAGCCATGGCGCCTCCAGCAACTTTCACGCGCATCTTTTTCTTTTCTTGCTTCCTCTTTTTTCCCCCACGGGACACGAGGCAGAGACTTTCGTTATTGCCGCGTTCAAGACGGTCAGTGCGGCGCCTCAGAGACCACCGCACGCAGAGGTCTCCTTACCCCCAGTCAAAAGTAAAAAAAAAAAGCAACACAAAAATAAGAGGTGAATACGCATCCGTGCACCGGCTTTTTTTTTTCTTTCTTAAATTTCTTTTTCTTTTTTCC